GACTTTCTCATCCCTTTCTTTTCTTTTTTTTTTTTTTTTTTTTTTTTGAGACGGAGTCTGGCTCTGTTACCCAGGCTGGAGTGCAGTGGTCGGATTCTCGCTCACTGCAAGCCCGCCTTCCGGGTTCACGCCATTTCCGCCTCAGCCCCAAGTAGCTGGGAGTACAGGCGCCCCGCACCTCGCCCGGCTAATTTTTTTGTATTTTAGTAGGCGGGGTTCCACCGTGGTAGCCAGGACTTGGTTCTCGACTTCCTGAACTCGTGAACACGCCGCTCCGGCCTCCCAAAGTGGCTAGGGATTACAGGGCTTGAGCCACCCACGGCCGGGCCTTCATCCTAATTCTTTCTAAGGCAACCATCTCCTCGGCTGGACTGTACAGCTTACTTAAACGCTGACCGTTGGGGGCAGTGATGGGCAGGGCCGAAAAAAAAATAAAATAAAATAACCAGGCGTGGTGGAACATGCCTGTAGTCCCAGCTACTCGGGAAGCTGAGGCAGGAGAATCATTTGAACCCGGGAGACGGAGGTTGCAGTGACCCAAGATTGTGCCATTGCACTCCAGCCTGGGCAATGAGAGCAAAACTCCATCTAAATAAATAAATAAATAAGTGCCACTTTAATGTGAGATGTTTCACAACAAAATAAGGATGTTTAAAAGGGTTTGCTTAGCAAAATGGGACAGGATGGGGTGCCCTGTGGTGCAGCTGTTCTAGGACAGGCTGGTAGTGATGGGGGCCTCCATGCAGGGGTGAACCCTAAGGACGGGGGCCACTGGAGGAAGGCTGTTTCCAGAGTAGGACAGAGGTGAGCCCCCTACAGCTCAGGTATTCCATTAGGGCCGCACTCACTCCCCTCCTGTAAAATAAGCTTCACGTCTGCTCCAAGGAGCAGGTGTTGGGTCTCTCCCACCGCTGAGAAGAGAAGGGCTTTGGACACATGTATTTCCAAAACTTGAATAAAGGCTCATTTAAGGTATATTAGGACAATATTTCTTTTATTTATTTATTTTTATTTATTTATTTTTTTGAGACAGAGTTTCACTCTTGTTGCCCAGGCTGGAGTGCAATGGCGAGTGCAATGGCCACTGCAACCTCCGCCTCCCAGGCTCAAGCAATTCTCCTGCCTCAGCCTCCCGAGTAGCTGGGATTACAGGCTTGAGCCACCACGCCCGGCCTCTCATCCCTATCTTTCTAAGGCAAACCATCTCCTCCGCTGGACTGTACAGCTTACTAAAATGCTGACCGTGGCCGGGCAGTGATGGGCAGGGCCCGAAACACATGCACTCCCAGCCAGATGTGGACTAGCCAGCCTGCAGGAGGGGAGAGGTCGTCTGCTACCCCCAAGCATACCACATCCAACCCAATTCCCACCCCTTCATCTCAGCCAATGTCCTTTAACCACATTGAGTCTCATTTTAACGCGTTGCTTTCCTGAACCACCACAGAGCCTGTGGCACTGTACCTTCAAACCTGCGGTGACTGTCGTAGTCCTCAGAGCAGGGCACCTCGATGAATCTCCCCGCCACGACCTCGCCACGGCGGGCCAGGACCTCTGTGACCCCGTCTTCGGCCCCTAAGTTGCTCCAGAGCAGGAGTGCGGTGAGCACAAGGCCAGCCCCCAGGCCCGCAGTCCTTA